AAAGTCTCTTTGAAATATGACATGCAGTGAAAAAGCAGTGATCAGTTGCTGGCGTCTGTTAGTCTGCTTATGTTATATGCAGAAATGAAGAATGCCCAAGTAACCTTTGACCTATTTGGCTGAAATTCTTGCATAAGGATATGTGTTCAAATAAACTACGAATTTAGTCTTTATAATCTAGTACCATGCTCTTCTTGTTTGCTGTAGTAGTTTCTTAAAGTTATTAATAGTATGGATCACTGTTTTGTGCTATTAAAGCCCAGTGGATGCCTGCTTGCAGACAAAGCGTTCTGTTTAATACAGTGGTGGGCAGCCCGCGGGCCGCACGCAGCCCATCAGGGTAATCCACTGGCAGGCTGCTGGACACTTTGCTTACGTTTGCACAGCTGTCTGCAGCTCCCAGTGGCCGCGGTTTGCCGTTCCTGTCCAATGGGAGCTGTGGGAAGTGGCGCAGGCCACAGGGACGTGCTGGCTGCCGCTTCCCACAGCTCCCATTGGCTGGGAACGGCGAACCGCAGCCACGCAAATGTAAACAAACTGGCAGCCCAGCAGCAGATTACCATGATGGGCTGCAAGTTGCCCACCACTGGTTTTAATAGTACCACGTACAGGTCTTGAAAACCAATCTGCTTTTTTCACCTATCCTAGAATATCAGGGTTGGAAGGGACCTCAGGAGGTCATCTAGTCCAACCCCCTGCTCAAAGCAGGACCGATCCCCAATGCTAGTACTGCTGCTGCTAGTCACCTCTGCTAGTAGACTTCATCCTCAGGCCTAACAGGTGTTTGGGGAAACTTTCAAGCTATATTTCTTCATCTTCCAAATCATGTACAAATATTAATATCAATAAAATATTGATTAGTACACATGGAAAGTCATGCAAACATGTTTTCTCCTCCCTTTCTTCTGGTATTAAAAATGGAACTTTGACATATTAATAGCAGCTGAAACACTTTTCATGATGGTGAAAATGTAATTGTTTATGTAATGCACTTTAACGCTGTAACTAAGTGCTTAGCTGCTGTGATAATAGGCACTGTGCAAATCCTTAACAAAAGATATAGCTATACTTACTACTTTTAAACAGTACAAAATGTGCATCTAACATTACAAACATTAAATAGCAATGTTGCTCATAACTAAACTACAAAATTCATATTGCAGTTTGAGGTGCACTGTATCTTGTAAAGTTTCAGAGTAGCAGCCGTGTTAGTCTGTATCCGCAAAAAGAAAAGGAGGACTTGTGGCACCTTAGAGACTAACACATTTATTTGAGCATAAGCTTTCGTGAGCTACAGCGGAGCGGAGCTGTAGCTCACGAAAGCTTATGCTCAAATAAATGTGTTAGTCTCTAAGGTGCCACAAGTACTCCTTTTTCTTTTTGTGTATATTGTAAAGCCATTCAGCTACATTCTCATGCAGTTGTTTGGAAACTTCTCTTCGGGGTTTCTTTTGAGTGAATTTAATGTTGGTGAAAGGTGATGGATTTACAGCCTGGGAGAATAAAACACAGGAAGTGGCAATGCGAGCTCCCCTGCACTACCACATCAATATAACAACCCTGACATTGGAGGGTCCAGCTTGAAAGTTGTCTCTGTGGTTCATTTACCATTTCTATAAGATCACCAGCAAGAAAATCAGTTAGAAAAGTGTGTTTATCTTCTAGGAACTGATTTTAGATTAATATTTCATTTTACAAACTCCACTGAACAGTGGTTGGTTATAACTTTATGATCACAACCCACCTGGGGCACCAGTGATTTAGAAGTGAAAGGGTGTATTACATTACCAATGCCCAGTATCCTTTAATGTTTATTTAAGAAATTAATAGAACTTGCTTAAAGGGCAAGTGCTCCCATACAACTCTGCAAGTGTGCTGATCTTCAGTATTATTTATACTCCTGTTGTAAGCCCCACTACAGTTCTTTCCATTCATTCAAATCTGTATTCAGTAGGCTGAATCCTGATCTGCAGCATCCCTGCTAGGTTGTTCTAGTGTGGTCTTAAGCACAGACTGTTTATAATGGATGAACTGTATAGTAGTTCTGTGTGGATAAATGGGTTCTTTGAGATCCACAAACTCATTTTACTTTCCAACCAATTCAGATTTTAAACCCATGTTTCCATAGACATTGTTGATTGGTGTATTAAATTATGATCTACCAACCCCAGAAAAAAGTAAGTGTGAATATTTTTTTATCATAAAGATTTTGATGATTCCAGGGAATTTAGGAATGGAAAAGAATAGAAGGCAGTCCTGCTCTATAGTAAATGTGGAGAACACTGTAGACTAAGAATCTCTAACTGGGTCATTAGCTTGTGCCCCTCACTGTCTCTTTCCATTTAATTGTCTTGTCATCAAAACTACCAGTAAATACCAAAGGTTACCCATAGAGTATGAACATTAGCATTTATCTAAGTATGATTGAAGTACCGTCATTGAAGTGTTCTGATGAGATTTTGGACTAAGAAAAAAACTTAAAAAGAACTATGAAAAAGAATGATTATTTGAATACATTCTGCCTAGTCAAGTAAGGGCACAAGACATTTGAGAATATGACACTGAGTTTATGTTGGAGACCAGCAACTACCATACTTAAATTTATGAAAGTTTGTTATGCACCTTAATAACCTTTATAACACTTGCAGACTCTGGAGATTCAGGAGCAGAGAAGCTTTTGGGAAGTGTCATGTCAAATCATTACTGAACGCATTGCCATAGGGGTTGGGCAAAATTCTGCCCTGACTTTATACCTTGTGTATCAAAGGCAGTGGGGTTGTGTGGATTGTAAAAAGGCAGAATTTGGTCTTGACACTCCATAGACTTGCAGTTTCAGATATTCTGGTTGCCCAAAATCATTAAGATGCTGGCATATTAAGTTTATAGAAGATAAAATTGATCCCTTTGAACATACAGAATTGCAGAGAGACTGTGACATGCGGATTGGTATTGAAAGATGAGATCCATTTCCTCAACCCTGTCTCCCCTCCCCCATGTCGCCAGCTACAAATATGAAGAGCCAGGCTCCAAAATGAGTTTCCATACTTTTTTAAAATTTAAGTTAAAGTGCAAAGTTTTGGTACTGCATTAGACTAATGAGCAAATCTGTTTTGCGACCTAATGTGAAATTTCACAGCATTGAGCAAGCCTGCTCTGTAGATGTCTCTTCTGTATGTAGTTTTCAGTGCACTGAGACAGACAAGGGCTGCACACTTGGTGCCCTGAGGCAGTCTGACAGAAAGTTTAAACATCAGTTGACACAAGTAAAAAAGGGATTGTTGGAAATATGAGGTTAGAAAGAAAATCTTACTTCAGAAAGGACTGGCCGGTTTTTATTTGACATGTAGGCCCTAAAAGGGGTGGCTTCATTGGAAGCATTTGCATTATCTTAATGAGAACCTGTCTTGCCTAGTTAAAATTTGGGCTATTGAAACTTTGTGGTTTTTTATATTTGTTTTTGTTTATGTTTGTGACTCTGCGATTTAAAAACCACTTTATTTTGCTGTGGCAGGGGCTTTGTTTGCATTCTCTTTCAGTTACCTTAAGATGCAAATGACTTTTTAAAAATACTAAACTCACGAAACAAAATTTAGACTAACTCAGTGGGAAGGAATAATTTACCTTCCTGTGTTAGTTCATCTATAAAGGGATTCTTTTTTTTCCTGGCATGTTTACTCTGTGGTAGGAGAACGTTTCTAGTGCTATTTCTGCATTTAAAAATGAGAATAAACTTAAATAATCTGAGCAAGTGGCTTCACTTTTAGAAGGGAATTGTGTGCAAAATAAAACAATTACATTCAAAGAAATGGAAATATGTTTCTACTGATATTTCTGCACTGTTGTTTCAGGGTTGATGGTTGGGATTTCAGTTTAATGCTCATACAACACTGCTGCTGTCTGATTTATCTAGGCAGTGTGCATCATTCCTTAAAGAGACTTTCATGTATTTGGGGGTGTGGGAAGGAAGGCCAATAAATATTTGGCCAAATTCATCCCTGGTGTAACAGTTGTCAGTGGAATTACACCAGGAATGAATATGGCTAGTTAGTTCTGATGTATAAATTGGTTTCTCCTGTGCTCACGATCTTTTATCTTTTGAGCTTTTTGTCATGTTTGCACCAAATACTTCGCTTTTTCATAGCCTTGCTTCCTCATGCTGTTACAAATGCAGGATTGGTTGGAAAGGAGCCCTTATTTAGGACATGCATTTGAACTATCCAAGGGACTACAGAAGATACTGAGTCAATGAAATTACTATTGAATAAATTGGATCAAATCAACCCAGGCCCAGGCAGAAGTCAGTGGAAGACATTGGAATTGGCTCAAACTTTAAGTTCCAATAGGAAAGTTCCCCTTTTTAATAGTGAGTGTACCTGCTGCACTTTCCTTCTGCCACTAGATGTTACTGCATGAGAAACTGATTAAATTGTAGCTGGAAGTGGCTGGGCTGACCTTGTTAGAAAAGGATGGGGAAAACACTAAAACAGGTATGCCCTCAATATCCACTTTGGAAAATATGATGATTACATGAGTCTCATTCTAGAATTTATTGACTTTGTGATATTAAACGTATGAAGAGTGTTGTTTGTATTGACCTAAAAGTGTGCTGGGCGCTTTCCAGACATGTGAAAAGACAGTCTCTACCCTGAAGAGCTCGCATCTAAATAGAGGACATACAAACACAGTGAGCAAAAGGTAACGGAAAATAGTCTAAACTAGCAGCAAGGTTTGCACAAGTCTTGTTTGTTCCATGCTTTTTCATTTAAACTAGGGTGTGGGAGGAGAGAAGAACTAATTCTTGTGGCATGCTCCAGCATGAGGTCTGTTCAGTTTTGCGGGGGATTTTTGTTTTTTGCTCCCTCAGAAATGATCATGTTGGGATACTAACTTTTTTTTTTCCTGAAGGAAAAAAACCCCTGTGTTTGTCTCCTTTTTGTGGCACGTAACTTGTAGTGTAATAAATGTTAACTTTTGGTGTTTGGTCTGTTCATTTTACACAGAAGTCTACAAAGAGAGAAGAGCTCCATGTGCATGAACTGAAGTTATTTCAGGGAAAACCTCTATCCCTTTCATTGCATGAGTTATATGCTACCCACTGACACTGAAGTAAAGCTGGAAAGGAATCCAAAAGTGAAGAAAACAAGAAGTTTGGAATTGGATTTGGGGGATCTGGGCTTGGAAATGCCTCAGGTAAGCCTGGGGTGTGTGTGTGATAGTTGATTTACTTATGTAAAGTATTCCCTACACGCACATACACTGCTGCATTTTTAAAATTTATAGTTAAATTACAAGATTCTTTTGAGCTAACAAGGAACCTTCAGAAGAAGTGTATAAATTATAACAAGTGAGTTGCCTTTCCCAATCTGCTTTAAGTTAAAGCTAAGATGCCGAGTAGAGTCAAAGCTGTCCCCCTTGTAGGGTTTGGCTTTATTTAATAATAAAGTAATCATCAGTGGATAAACAAAACTAAAAGGTCAAGTCTTCTCCTCCGGTTTGACTGCTCTTAGATTTGTTAACTCACGGCTGCTTAACCCATACCCTAGGTACTCTTTCTAGAGAGCCACACTTACCCCTCTGTCTGTGAGCGTATGAGCCACCTGCAGAGTGAGCCAATGGAACACACTTACCATCTTCCAGCAAGATCACCACCTACTAGCAAGGTGGGTTTTCAGGCAAACACCACAAATTATGACCTGCTAGTGTCCTAATTCAGGAACCTCTTGTCCAGTTAATTTCAAATTTTATAGAAGAAATTTTGACTTCTACCAGTCTGAGTCGAGTGTGACTTCTTTTGTGAATTTTAGGGGGAGAGCAAAAATCAGGCTTATAGCAGTAACTCATTTTCAGCCTCAACTGCCGTTGCTTCATAGTATTATTTCTGTGGCCAGTAATCCTAACCTAACTGCAGAATGTTTCTACACAAAGTTCCACCTATTCACCCAGTAGATCTTCCATTACAAACCAATTGCACAAATGGTAAAATCATCAGTCTCTACCCAGGATTGAAATAATTGAGATGTACTTAAAGCTTCCAGGACTAGAATAGTAAGGGTGCTGCAAGGGAAGATTAAGGCCCACTGATGAAGCAGTGGATGAAAAACTTTGATAGTACCCATTCACAAGAGTATTGACTAGAATATTAATCTGTCACTTCTACAAGCATTAAAATATCACTAAACTCACCAAACAACTGAGAATTTCAAGTCAACAAAAAGGAATAAATGAGCAACTATCTAGCACAGGGGTTGGCAACCTGCAGCACGCGTGCCAAAGACTGCATGTGAGCCGATTTTTACTGGGCACGCTGCTGCCAGCCGGGGTCCTGGCCGCTGTCCCCGCTCAGTCCGCTGCCGGCCTGGGTGAACGGAATCCTGGGCCGACAGCAGGCTGAGCGGGGCCGGCGGCCGGGACCCTGGCTGAGCGGGGCCGGCGGCCGGGACCCTGGCTGAGCGGGGCCGGCGGCCGGGACCCTGGCTGAGCGGGGCCGGCGGCCGGGACCCTGGCTGGTGGCAGGCTGAGCCATTCAGCCTGCCGCCGGTCTGGGCTTCTGTCCACCGGCGTAGTGTATTAAATTTTCTCCCTGTAGGAATGTGCTACTTGCGGAGCGCCAGGACTGGCAGCGGTAAGTAGTACACTGTAAGTAGCACATTCCTACAGGGAGAAATTTTTAATACACTACACCTGTGTAGGGAAGGCTGTGCCTCCCCAAACAGCCTGCCCCCTATCCGCCCCCTCCCACTTCCTGCCCCCTGACTGCCCCGATCCCTATCCACACCCCTGACAGGTCCCCCGGGACTCCCACGCCTATCCAACTCCCTCTCTGCCCCCCTCTCCCCCCCCCGTTCCCTGTCCTGTTACCATGCCGTTCAGAGCCCCAGCTGTGACAGCGGTAAGTAGTATGTTCCTATGGGGAGCAATTTAATACACTATACCCAGCCCCATTTAATACACTATACCCAGCCTGCTGATGGTCTGGAGTTCTCAAAACATGTTCTCGCACCCCTTATAAAAAATTACACTACAATTAGCTTAAAAACTTAAACTTTGTATATTACAGCAGTCGTTAAAAAATGTATGATGTTAATAAATACCTAGGTTTGATTAAACAAAGTAGTTGTACTTATGTGCCTGTGCTTATTTTGTGTTTTCGATGATTTACCTGCTAAAAAAATCTCACATGTCTCTCACCCCCAGAAAGGGCATCTCGCACCCCAGGTTAAGAACCACTGCATTAAACTGATAAGATCTGCATTTTAATTTAATTTTAAATGAAGCTTCTTAAACATTTTAAAAACCTTGTTTACTTTACATACAACAATAGTTCAGGTATGTAATATACACTTAGAGAGACCTTCTAAAAACTTTAAAATGTATTTCTGGCACACGAAACCTTAAACTAGAGTGAATAAATGAAGACTCGGCACACCACTTCTGAAAGGTTGCTGACCCCGATCTAGCAGCTACATGGTGGATACAAATTTTAGAGTGTCATGGGTAAAAGCACTGGGTATTGTTAACTGGCTGTTTGCTTACATGTTTATCTAAAGTTTTCCAAATGCAAGTATAGAACAAGTTCAAAGTTGAGGTATATGGGGTGTAGGAGTGCGCATGTAATGTAATACATATATATTTAACAAAATCAAACAATTTTGTTGTAGCCCAGCGTGAGCGGAATGGACCCTCCTTTTGGAGATGCCTTTCGGTGCCACACATTTTCAGAACAGACGCTGACGAGCACAGATCTGTTGGCAAATAGTTCAGATCCAGACTTCATGTATGAACTAGTAAGTTTGTTTTTTCCCTTTGTTTTTCCTTTTGGATAGCATCTTCCTTTCCCATGTAAATGAGGGGATGGTCTGTAGGGAGCTGTTCAGTGAAGGTCTGCTGTCTGATTATTCACTACTACTTATTACTGACTTAGTCCCCAACCATCAGGCCACCAACTGGGATGTTTCACGTACAGGAAGCTGTTAAAACTATCAGCAGAGGCTTTGGTATGTCTTATGTTCAGGAGCCTCAGATTGAGCAGATAAGTGTATCGCTGCCACTGCTGGGATGTTGTTTGCCGACATAAGTCCAAGCAGTATAGTCTTGTCTAGGAAAGACATTACATTCCCCCAAGTTGAAGAAGAGACACATGAACAGAACAAAATGTAAACTAAGCTTATGTTGGAAATAACCAATTTTTCCTATACCAGACATGCGTGGACTAGGAAAAAAGATTGCTCATATTTATTATTTGATTGATCTGGCTAGAACAAGGTTCTTCAGGGTTGGGATATCTGGCATTGGTGGTGGCTGGTACGTGGAGCCCTTCTTTTCTTGGTCACTTGTATAAATCTGACCCAGGTGAGCAGGGAACTAAAGTAGTTTCCATCTGATGGCTCTTTTATATGTGAAATGAATTGCTGGTCTTAGTCCAGTTCCCAGTGACCAGGAGTGCACACAATACAAAAAACCATAACACAATTGTCCGGTACCCTTGTTGGCAGTCTCCGCACAGAAGCCCAGAATTGATGGAGCATGGAAACTATGCTCTGACCTTTCCCCTAAAAAGATTCTTCAACGCAATGCTGAGCCACTTGTGCTGTGTCTGGTTTTGGGATACAAACGCCTCATGTGCCATCAGGCTGGTACACTTCACCAGCACTCAGTGTTTTGGGGTTTGGTTTTGTTTGTTTTGGGGCTTTGTTATAGACCAGGGAGCTGGATGGGAGTATTTTTCTAAAATGTGCCTTGTTAACTTGTCTTATTGTGCACAGGACAGAGAAATGGACTATCAGCAGAGCTCCAGAGACAACCTCCTTTCTATGGAGGACTGCAAAGATATTGAAAATCTAGAGTCTTTTGCAGATGTCCTGGATAATGAAGCTGCTTTCACCTCAAACTGGGAGCAGTGGGACACATACTGTGAAGACTTAACTAAGTACACCAAACTAACCAGCTGTGACATCTGGGGAACAAAAGAAGTGGATTACCTGGGCCTTGATGATTTCTCAAGCCCATACCAAGATGAAGAGGTGATAAGTAAAACTCCAACTCTAGCCCAGCTTAACAGTGAGGACTCTCAACCTGTGTCAGATTCACTTTATTACTCGGATTCACTCTTCAGTGTAAAACAAAACCCTTTAACTTCTCTGTTACCTGGGAAAAAAATCACAAGTAGAGCAGCAGCCCCTGTATGTTCCTCAAAGAACATTCAGGCTGAGGCACCTTTGTCAGACTATGTTCAAAAGGCAAGCAAGCCCACTTCAAGCACACAAATCATGAAGACCAATGTGTACAATAATGAGAAGGTGAACAGTCACGTTGAATGTAAAGACTATGTTAAAAAGGCAAAAGTAAAGATCAGTCCGTTACCACAGAGCAAACCAGTGTTGAGCCAGGCACATGCAGATGCGGCAAAGGAGAACACATGCTATTGTGGAGCTGTAGCAAAGAGACAAGAGAGGAAAGGGATAGATTCCCTTCAGAATCATAATACTCCTATTTTGCCTTTCAAAGAGACTCAGGAGCTGCTCCTCAGCCCACCCCAGGAATCTCCAGGGCTAGTTGTGGGGGAGAGCAGCCTTTCTGCCAGCACATCTGTCTCAGATCCTTCACAGAAGAAAGAAGAGCACAATTATTCTCTCTTTGTCACAGACAGTTTGTGTGAGCAGCCAACCAAAGGAGACCCTGAAGAGGATGAGGAGGATGAGGAAGATATTGAAGATGAGGACCATGATGAGGGGTTTGGCAGTGAGCACGAACTGTCTGAAAATGATGATGAGGAAGAAGATTATGAGGAAGACAAAGATGATGATATCAGTGATACTTTCTCTGAACCAGGTTTGTTAAATTTTGTGGTGTATTAGGAGGTGGGCAACTCTCTTTCTGCCAAGCAAGTATTGGGGGGAAATATGCTTTGGAATGATTTATAGATATAAATGGTAACACTTTACCCTTACATAGGACCTTCCATCCAAGGATTTCAAATGCAAACATGAAACCTCACAGCACCCATTAGATAGGTATTCTTCCCATTTCACAGAGAAGGTCAGGGTCCCACAGAGTCAGTAATAAAACCAGGAAGAGAATGTAGAATTCTTGACTCCCAGCTTACTGGACACAACTGCATCCCTTTCCTGGGCTGGGATGTATTGAGTCAATCAATTGATAGTGGGATACACAGAGCCTTACGTCTCTGCAATAGGTTGTTCTTTTAGTATATCCAGAGAATTTTTATCCCCTGACAGTTGCCTGAGTAGCCCATGTGAAATCAGTTGATAGTCTGTCTAGATTCTACTGGACAATTGTCCATAATTCACAGATCAATCCTATAATTGTCCCTAATTGGCCCCGTTAGCAGTCTCAAAGACCAAGCATTCAATGGGACTGTGGAGACAGAACTCTTCTCTCATCTGCAAGTAGAAAACAGAGAACTAACCCTCATCTGGAAGGTGACAAGGCAGTAACTATTACTGTAATGATTAAATATAAGCAAAGAGGTCTATACTTAAGGGGCTTAGTTTTATTAGTGGGTATACACGTTTTACACAGCTTTCTAGCATAGAATAGTGATTAATAGCTTGTACAAACTCTTGACAATATGTAACTTTGGGGAAGAAACTCAAAAGGCAGTTAAAAAATTCCACTTTAAATCGGCAGTCTCAGTCAAGCATGTTTGTAAGGAGGTCATGAGTAGACCTTGTATAAAACAATATATTGGGTATTCAATATGCTCTGTATTACTTCTGTGTGTACATTACAAGTCTTTATTAACATCCTCTAAGCTTTCCCTCATTGCTTCTGTAGGGAATCCTCTCAACTTATTCTTCTGAAGGTTTGAGTGGCTTCTGTTATGTTTTTGTGTGGTATGACTTGATTGCCATATGGTATAACTCCTGACCCATTATGCCACATTACCAGATTCCCATGTTTAATAATATGTAATCTTGAAAAGGATTTTTTTTTTAATTGCTGGCATTTCAGTTAGTTGCATTGCATTAATTGCTCTTTTGAAAGTTTTTTCTGACCAGCAATCGCTTCCACCTTCTATTAAATACTACTACTCCTACACGTAGCAATAGCGTAACTAAGAAATAAAAAAGCCACTTGGCCTATAAAAGCTCACTGGAGCTTCAAGTAAATAATGAAGGTCATTTACTCCAAGCGTGGAACTAAAAGATTAAATCACCATTTTGTCTAATTACACCATACCAGGGTTTTGTGTTGCTTTTTTTTTTTCTAATGGAGCATGGAGCTTTGGCTATGCCAAAGTGTATCCCTGCCTAAATACACCTAGATGGGATGGAGGGAGTGGTGAAACAAGCATAGAGCAGGAAGACTTTTCATTCTGTTACACTGAAACTAAAGGTAGAGAGTTAAATTTGACACAGAGGTGCATTTCACTGAAAGGACAAAGAACATACTGTTTTTATTGACCCCTATCATGTATATTTTCTACTTTTGATTCCCCTTTCTTTCCTCCTCTCCCCCTCCCCCATTTCTGTGGGTTTATGAAACACTGACTCATCTGAACCTATGAGAAACTAATAATCTGCGTGCTCCTTCATTATCCATAGTTTAATGGACATCCTAAAAGTGGATAGCCAATCTCTATTGAGCAATGTTGTTTTGAGGTCTTATCCTCCTCACCTAGTCTTTGTGGAGACACATCTTATGTGCAAATGCATCTGCAACCGAAAAGACGAATAATCTAGTAAATAAATGAAATTACAGTTTGGACAGGGGTTGGGGACTGTCTATTTAACTACATTCTCCCTTTCTCAGGCCAGCACTGAGTTGCCTTACTGCCATGGAGGCAGGAGTGTAGCTAATGTATGGTAAGAGCATTAGGAGCCCAAACTTCAGCAAAGGTCAACTTTGCATGGGATTCTAGGTGGGTTGTATAGGTTCTCTCGCACACTAGCTAATAGAGGACCAGCTGTTATAAAAACAGAATTCCTCTGTCTTTTCCATTATACAGGTAATAGAACGAGGGGGCACTAGTTTCTAAATTGATATATGTACCATTTCTGGGCATTCTAGGCTCTTCTTTCCTATGATACTGAGAATTGATGCAGCACCGTTCCCTCCTTCCCATCTAGGAGTATTTAGGCTGGGATACACTTTGGTGTAGCCAAAGCTCCATGCTGGATTAGAATATTCAGTAGAATAAGAGGAGGCACTAGCTGGTTCATCTGAGGTCTAGCTGATAAATTGCTTAGACTGGGAACTGCTGATTTAGTAAGATGTCAGGGTGGATTGATTTAACTTTCAATCGTGATATAAATCAGCAAGCAGAAAACATTTAATCTTGATTTGTATTTTACTCAGTTATTTTTCTAAAGAAAGGTTGATACTTATTAGTTGCAGATCAGCATTTTTAATGGTTACTTACCAGTTAAATATAGCCATTACACTAAATTTAATAAATCCTTTGGATAACCAGGAGCATAACTATACGTATGTTAAGTTATACAATTGCTTAAATAAATAAATTTTTTTTATTCAATGTCTTAATTATTACATTTTGTTATGTTAGAAAACAGTGAATGACACATTTATTATTTACTAGATTAATATTTTATTCATGATTTGTGTCCAGCTGCATTTGGATCGAAATAGGAATTCAACTAAAATGCCCCAAAATGCACAATATTTTTATTAGTTAAATAAAAAACTGCCTAAAATGTGCTGGGTACATAAGAAAGATTTATCAAAACATGTTTTGATATTTCAAACTGATTTAGTAAATAAAGGAAGTATTATCTGTAGTTAGTGAATTGAACTGATTTTCTTATCACTGTGTTCTTCAAGTTTTAGAACTAGTAGATCTCATTCAACTCCAACTCCGTTTCTTGACTTTTAATGAATTAGTCATTGAACTGACATAGTTGAACAAACTGAAATTAAAAAAATATTCTCTCTGAACCTGCAGAAGCTACTACTGGTATCAAATTCTGGGTTAGCACTTCAAATTAAATTTGAAGTAAGTTTATTTTTAAAGTATGGTTAAAATACTTTTTTTGAAGTCACCCTTTTTTATTCACCCTGCAAAGTTTCTCAAGCTCCAAAATGTTCTTGCCAGAAAACCAGGTCTAGAAGGATTTTTACAGACTTTTATACTCCTTTTTCAAATCTCTGAACCCTAATAATACTGGATAGTTACAGGGAAACAAAATGGGGTAGGTCACAGAGTGCATTTTAAATCCTAAACAAGAGTGCGAGAGTCTTTCCTTATCCTTAGCATGAATAGTGTGTGCTTTTTGGGATTAGGGTGACAGCTCATCCACTGTTCAGGAAAAATTTACCAGGTGCATATCTGGGTTTTTTTGTTTGTGGACTCTTTGTTTTAGTTGGTTTTTACAATGCAGAATTGATGGTTAAGAGATCATGTTCTCTGACTTAGACACTGACTTTGTGTGACATTGGGTAAGTCACTTAACTTATCCGTACTTCAGTTTCTGTCTTCGTAAAATATTCTTCTACCTCAATATGGTGTTAGGCTAAATATTCTGTCTTTGTAAAATATTCTTCTACCTCAATATGTAAGGCTAAATCACTTAATATTTGCAAAGCTCTTTGAGACCCTCTGAGGCAGAGGTTTTCAAATGGTGGGGTGTACCCTCCTAGGGGGAAATGGAGAAACGTTTGGGGGGTAAGTGATGACACCAGCCCCGTGTGTCAGGGCTTGGGGAAGGAGCTCCACCTCCACCCCGTGACTCACCTCAGCAGGCCACCCTGTGGGTCAGTGTCAACATCTGCTGCAGCTGAGTCAAATTCTGCTCACGGCAGCCTCCTTACCCGGCACTGGCTCCACCCCCACAGACCATCTCACATGCTTTTCCCCTACCCTGAAAACCTGGGATGGGAGGGGCAGGTATTGTGTCTATTTCTGTCTGGGTAGGGGGGACAACCAAAAATTGTAACTCAAAAGGGGGCTCAGCTCAAAAAGGTTGAAAACTGCTGATTTGAGGAAAGATGCTTCTCTTGATTATCGCAGGTAGCTGATTGGATGTGGACTCCCTGAATGTAGCAAAGAATGCATTTGGTAGGATTGATCATATTCTTAACTTTCAGTACCCATTTATTTTTCTAGACCAGCAGTTCTCAAACTTCAGCAACCTGAGGACCACCATTTTGATTTAAAATTTGTCATGGATCCCCAAGCCCTCCACTCAGCCCCAGGCCCCACCTCTACTCCACCCCTTCCCCCAAGGCCCAACCTCTGCCCCTGCTCTTCCCTGTCTTTCTGCCTCTTTCCCCTCCCTCCCAGTGCTTCCTGTACACTGCTGAACAGCTGTTCCATGGCATGCAGGAGGCACTGGGAGGGAGGGGGGAGGAGTTGATTAGCGGGGCTGGCAACCCCGGACATGACTCACAGACCCCCTGGAGTACCCTCAGAGACCCCAGTTTGAGAAACCCTGTACTAGTCTGTAAACTGGGGTGGGCAAACTTTTTGGCTTGAGGGCCACATCGAGTTTCCAAAATTGTATGGAGAGCTAGTTAGGGGAGGCTGTGCCTCCCCATCCACCACCGCCTGTCCCCTGACCGCCCCTGGACCCGCCACCCTTGACTCCCACTCTCCTCCCCCTCCCCCCCCGGCCGCCCCATCCAACCCCTCCTCTCATTCCTGTCTGCCCAACCCCCCCTTCTCCCTGTCCCCTGACCACCCCTGAAACCCCTGCCCCATCCAACCCCCCTCTCCTTCCTGACTGGCCCCCCAGGACCCCTGCCCCCATTCAACCCCTCTGTTCCTCACCCTGTGACTTCCCTGCCCCCTATCCACACCCCCGCTCCTGACCACCACCCCAAACTCCCATGCCCTCTATCCAACCCCCCCCTACTCCCTGCCCCCTTCCCGCGCTGCCTGGAGCACCGCTGGCTGAAGGCGCTACAGCTGTGCCGCCCAGAGCACCGAGACAGGCAGCCACGCCACTGCGCAGCACAGAGCACCGGGTCAGGCCATGGCTCGGCAGCTGCGCTGCCTGGCAAGAGCTCGCTGCCCAGAACATTGCGACAGCAGCACAGTGAGCTGAGGCTGCAGGGGAGAGGGAACAGCAGGGAAGGGGCCGGGATCTAGCCTACCGGGCTAAGAGCTCAGGGGCCAGGCAGGAGGGATGCAGTCCGCAGGCCGTACTTTGCCCACGTCTGCTTTAAACTGAGGGCACTTGCGTTGATAGCTGCCCCTCTGGAATGACTTGATCTAGGCAGGGTCAAAATCAAACTAGATAATTTTCTCTCTTCTCTTCCCTTCCCTTCCCAATGGCCCCAATACATCGTTTTGTAAAGCAACTCTTGAAAAGAATGGGTCCAACTAACTAAAAACTAATAACCCATCTGTTTACAGAATGCCCTGAATGTCTAATATCTACCCAGCCATTTCATTATCTGGAGAATCTATGTTTGGTAACTTTTCTGTTTTCCTTGTGTCTTGGGACGCTGCTCTAAAGAGGAACGGCTCATTAATCTAAACTTCAGATTTGAAATATCCTTGGAATTACAGTGTGAATTTTGTTATGTATTTCGATGGTCCTGTAAGTCTTTTCAGTTTTGTTTTGTACAGTATAAAGTTCTATTAATTTAGAATGTCCAAAGGTGCCCAAAGAGTCAGAGATGTAGACATGACCCAGTCACTTGTGTAAAATTATAGTATTAAGCAAGGTAGGGTTTGGTTTATAGCAGTGTCAGCCTGCTTAGTACCCTGAAAAACACATCATTAAAAATCCTTTTAACTTTTTTGTTAAAGATATAGAAAAGAAGGAAAAACAGTTAAAGCATTTCAAATGAAAGCCTTATTTAATACTTTACATTTTAAAACAAATGTTATTAAACAGTAGGAAAAGGTGTACATGAAATACCTTCAGAAATGGAAGAGATTCCATCACTGGTCTGTCAAGCAACGTCTTTCACCTGTTCATTTTTCCCTCCCTCCTGTCCTTGACTATCTGTTAGAATTAAAGTCAGGATTATCTTTAAATTCTGTTAGGGTTAATTTGGTGACTATGACAGGCTTTCATTCCTCAGATGAGGGATTATCAGTGTTGGCTGATCCCACAACAGTGGGATTCATGAAGGGATTGAGAAGACTTTTTTCTTTAGAGAACCCATTCCTATATGGGATTTAAATTTAGTACTTAAATGTCTTATGAAACACCCCTTCGAATTGCTCGCCAATTGTTGTTCCCTTCTTTACCTGTCTATGAAGGCTGCTTTCTTGGTGGCTATCACTTCTGCCTGAAGAGTTGGAGAAATGCAGACTTTAATTGCAGACACTCCCTTTATAGTGTTTTTCAGGGACAAAATTTCATTACATTCGCATCTTAAGTTTCTTTCTAAGGTGTTGGCTGAGTTTCACATAGAATCATAGAATATCAGGGTTGGAAGGGACCTCAGGAGGTCATCTACCAAGTCCTCCATCTCCCAAGTTTCCGCACCCCCCCACCCCCCTCCAAAGCTACATCAGACCAGGGAGGATGCTTCCTTCTGTACCTGGATGTGAGGAGGGCATTAACCTTCTGTTTGGGCAGAACCAGATCATTTAAAGCGTCTCCCAGGCTGTTTGTCTCATTTGCTGACAGGCCCAAAGGGTCCACAGTCTCCTCCCAGAGACTCTCAAGGAGGATTTCTGAGTAATGTTACTTCTTGTTATGAATTTGCCCATATACACCCTTCTCCTAAAGTGAGAGCCCATTCTGAAAGATCTCTGTGTACCTTGGTGGCGTTACTTAGACTCCTAGAACGGTAGTGCTGGAAGGGACTTTGAGAAGTCATCAAGACCAGCCTCCTGTGCTGAGGCAGGACCAAGTAAACCTGGACCATCCTTGACCGGTATTTATCCAGTCTGTTTTTAAAAACTTCCAGAGATGGGGATTCCACAGCCTCCCTTGGAAGCCTATTCCAGAGCTTAAATGCCCTTATGGTTAGAACGTATTTCCAAATATCTAACCTAAATCTCCCTTGCTGCAGATTAAGCCCATTACTACTTGTCCTACCTTCAGTGGATCACAATCCTCTTTATAACAGCCCTTAACATATTTGAAGACTGTTAACAGATTCTCTTCTCCCCCCCCCCCCCTTTCTTTTCTCAGGACTAAACATGCCCAGTTTTTTCAACCTTTTCTCATAGGTCAGGTTTTCTCAACCTTTTATCTTTTTTTTGTTGCTCTCCTCTGGACTCTCTCCAGTTGTCCACATATTTCCTGAAGTGTGATGCCCAGAATTGGACATAGTCCTCCAGCTGAGGCCTCACCGGTGCTGAGTAAAGTGGGACAGTTATCTCCAGTGTCTTACATACAACGCTCCTGTTAGTATACTCCATAATGATATTAGCCTTTTTCACAACTTTTTCACATTGCTGGATTTAGGGCAAGTGGCCTTAAACACATTCCCAAGGCTTGGACCTTGATACATACTTTTTCCAAGCATTATGCAATGCTTCATTCTTCTAGATCAGATGCTGCCCTTGGGATTGCAATCTTTTCTTCAGTGTTGGACTCCGCTCCAAAGCTCCCTCCTCTAATGAGGATACTGCTCAGAAGTCGCCTGAAATAGAATATCCATAGGGGTACTATTTGAAGAAGGTGAGGTCACTCACCTTGTGCAGGAATTGGAGTTCTTTGAGATGTGTCCCCCCTATGGGTGCTCCACTATCCACTCTCCTCTTCCTCAGCTTGAGAGTTTCCTATATGGGACTTTGTGGTGAAGAAAGAACTGGGAGTGGTTTGCCTGTGCAGTCCTAAATATCTTCAGTGTGGGGCAGAAAGATGTGTAGGGTGCATGTGTGGATCAAACAGACATTGCTTCCAAAAGTCTCCAACCAGAGTTACATGGGATGCATGTGCTCTTGAAGTGGAGCACTTGAACTCCAGTTCCTGCACAAGGTGAGTAACCTCTCCTTTTGAGGCAATAGGGTTTTGACAGCAATGCTTTCACGGTGTTATAATACACTGAATGCCATTATAGTTGGCTTTAGAAGGGAACAAACTTACCAAATCATCATGGGAGTTTACCAACCCAGGCATAAAATCTATATTCTTACATTTATTATGGCAACCATGGTGGAAAAAACCCTGATATTTAATTCACCTCATCCTGTCTTCCAAAACGGAAAATAAGCATTAACTAACAAATAGAATCCCAACGCTTACCTACTCTCTTGGTGCATGAGAAAATTGAAGTGAGATTCTCTATCTGTGCAATAAAACCACTAACATGTTTACTTATTACTTCACATCATTCCATGTCCTGTTCCCAATTATCCATTTTTGTCTCTGCGATTTGTTTTTAAATAACGTTCAATATTTTACTTTCAAAAAATTGTCCTACATAAAACTGCTGTGAAGAACTAAGTGGATAGAGAATAAAAGAGAGCTCTAAAATAATCCTATACCAGTGCTATAAAGTTGCAAAATGAAAACTGTCTATTCTGTAACCTGTTGGTATAGATATTAAAAACTGAGGTATACAAACGTATTTTTAAATATTTCATACAAACTGCATCCTAATTTAACTCTAAAGTGTCTTATCTTTGTAATTTGATTATTGATCTCTTCTCTTTTGTTATTAAAGAGGTGCAGACAAGGGATCAAAGTGAATGGATCTTGGCTCAAGTTGTTTAGATGAGAGGTGGGGCTGAGGGCAGGTAGTGCTGAACAGATGGCCTCCTATACTGGAACTCTTTCTCTTCCATTGGTCTGACAAAGCTGGCTATCATGACTTTTGGGCATGCTACAAGGGTGATCTTTTTTCCCCAAGCTTTTGATGGTGTCAAAGTTTTGTTCTGGACTGATTTGATGGATTAGGATCTTGCTCTTTGTCCAACTTGCCCTTTAGGATGCTTTTTTGTTTTGTTTAAAATTCTACATTGCTGGGTAGACTCATTTAAGAAATGAGGGAGAACTAGAATGTTTTTGCTGAGAATTGAAGGAGAAAGTAATGAAGGAGGTGCAAGAAGGCTATTCAATACTACAAGAATTGCAGAGATGGCAGCTCTCACATTGTGTGGTGGTGAGATTGTGGGGGAAGAGGAGAGCTGGATCATCCGTGGTATCGGAGCATAGAGAGGTTTTGGATGCAGTGGGGACTTTCCCCAATTCAGAAGTCATTGTCCTATCACAGTTGCAGCTGCATCAATGGCTATACATCTATTGCTGGATTTATGGCAAATGCCCAAGTTGCATACAAGGTGAAAAACATGGTTCATTAGATAGTGTGGAGCAAGTCCATTGAGGCCTTTAACTAAGTCTTCTCACTTGTATTTTCTTGAATGCTTGGTTTGGTACCTGTAGACACATTAGAATATTTCCAACCTTGAGTTTATAAGCTGACTAATGCAATTTATTCCTCTAGGATATGAAAATGATTCAGTGGAAGACTTAAAAGAAAGTACTGCAGTATCTTGCCGAAAAAGAGGCAAACGAAGATACTTTTGGGAGTATAGTGAGCAACTGACACCATCACAACAAGAAAGAATGCTAAGGCCATCAGAGTGGAGTCGAGATACGTTACCAAGTAACATGTATCAGAAGAATGGGCTCCATCATGGTAAGAGTTGTTCTCCAGTAACCAGTTAGTGTCTTTGATGCTGTCATCTTCACATAACGCTGCTGTCTCTGACTTCATGTAAGGGAGCTCTTGTTTTGCTACATGAGGAGGAATCACTGAAACAGTGTAATTTTTATTTAACTGTTTGGAATCTGTAGTGCATCCAGGCAAGAGGCAGTGCATATACATTAGTAACCTTCAATATACTTTCCCTCCAGAGGAAAATGGATGAATTGAGAATTGTAACTTCTGAAGTCTCTCAGTGAAAATACTGAATGTTCTAAAATCTCTGTGCAATACTGCTAATGTCACAAATTAGTAACAAACCTGATCTTTGCCCCTCAATACTGGGAGGCAGATCTAGTGTTGCTTGCAGTAGAGTTGACCAATATATGGTACTCAGATGCACTTTCATTCAAGTGTCAACTAAAGAATAGTCAACAAGGTAGAGGTCTGTCTTGCCTGGCTCCTCTTCACACACTCTTTCCACCCTTGTGTACTTGGCAGGGTTTTGGAATAATATCTATGAATACTTAAGTATCTTTTTGAATTTCTTTATTACACCCCCTTAGAACCTTAAAGTAATATTCTGTCTCTTTCCATTTGGTGAACATATATCATATTTCCATCCTGTGACCTTTTTTTTTTTTTTTTTACAAGCCAACTTTCCTGTATTTTGGACATTATTGATGCTGTCAAGGACAAACAGTTTTGAGAATAGAGTTTGTTCTTCTGTCTTGTGCCCTCTGCTGGTAGGCAGTTCCCCACCTGGTCATAATTCTGAAGGGACTTGGACATTAATGAAATAAACAAACTTCCTTAATTGTATTGTTAACATCCTCTTGCACTACTCAAATTGAAAACTTCCTCTGTCATTTTTAATACTTATAGTTTTCAAAGCCTTTGTTTATAAAAAGTAATGTTACTTGCTGTTCTGTTTGGGATGGAAATTTTTTGAATTCAGTTAATGCATTTCTGTTTATTTAAATGTGCAATATGTGATATCTTTATCACTAACAAATATAATTATATATACCGTGTATATACTCGTTCATAAGCCAATTTTTTTCGTAAAAAAGGGAAGCATCAGAGAAGGGGGTCGGCTTATGAACGGGTATAGAGAAGGAGAGGTGGGACACAGCCCCTCCCTGCAACATTGGGAGCAAGGAGAGGCAGTAGAGTCAGAAGGGATGCAGCAGGGCCAGAACCTCTCCACTTCTCGCCACACCGCTCTCCCTCCAGCTTCCAAAGCAGCTACAGCTCTGGGGCTGGCAGGCTTCAGCCACACCGCTCGGCCCCACCCACCAGAGCAGGCTGTGGCCATGCTGCCCGGTCTGGCCCGCTGGAGCAGGCTGCGGCCACGCTGCCTAGCCTGCCGGAGCAGCTCTAGCCAGGCCAGAGACCTCCTCCTCAGCCCTCGCCAGATAAGGTGGGAAGGGATGGAATGGGGAGAGTGTGGGGGTCCCGGGCTAGGGGTAGGGTCATGTGAGGGGTGATCATAGGGATTACTCCCCTGACCCCGAGCTTCTTCCCCCCCCAAAATTTTCCCCACCAGTTGCTGTCCCGGCCTGTCAGGGTAAGCAGCTCATGTGCCGGGACACTTTCTTTACTTCGGTTTACCACTGTGCGTGAGGACGCTTGAGTTAAAGAAACCATCTCAGCCCGCCAACGGCTTATCCTGATGGCCCAGGAGCCAAAGTTTGCCAACCCCAGAATTATAGGGTCGGCTTATGAATGGGTCTTAAATTTTTTTTCCATTTTTACTTATCCATCTTGTGGGGGAGGGGTCAGTTTATAAATGAACCGTTTTATGATTGAGTATATACGGTATATTCCAGATTGGGATTTGCACTTCTGTTCACTTTTATCAGAAAGTCTTGAATACTTTCTTCAGAGGCATGATTTGGAGGGTTGTTTTGCAAGACCTTTGTACATAGAACTGCCCTTTAACTCAATCAGTTCTGTATGCAGAAGGCTTGTAGAATTGAGCACTTTGTTAAATCCTGCAACTTTTGGATGGTAATGTATGTGAAAGGCCAGCTGATGCCTCATGGCAAGCCATTTTAGTTATCAGTTCAGCTGGGAAATGTCTATGGGGAAAGTGTTTGCCAGTATCTTTGTTGTTTTAAGTAAAATAGTATCTTTCCTGTTTTAAATAATCTTCAGAAGGGAAATGTGCAGCAGAAACAGATACTCCTAAGGAATAAAGATCCTGATTTTTCATGCACTTATCCTTAGTAAAACCAAACTGACTAAGAGAAACACAGGAGATATGTGAATTGCATAAGTTTTTAATACTCATTAGTGTCTATAAAGAGATCTTCCTCAAAGATATCCACAAGGATTTGGCTAGTCTGTACATTGGTTATGCTTCGATCAGGGGCTCTCAAACAGAGGGTCGGGATCCCTCAGGGGATCACAAGGCTATTACATGGGGGGTCGTGAGCTGTCAGCCTCCACCCCAAACCCTGTTTTGCCTCCAGCATTTATAATGGTGTTAAATATATTAAAACTTGTTTTTAATTTATAGGGGGGGGGATCGCACTCAGAGGCTTGCTATGTGAAAGGGGTCACCAGTAAAAAATGTTTGAGAACCACTGGCTTAGATCAACCACTGGTCTTTTATTGTGATACCAACCCTTTACTCTCACTTCATGAAGAAAAGAAGATAGAGTAACGGATTGTTTTATTTCTTGGTGTGAATTTGATGATAATGCAAGTGAGATTAATGGAATGAGCTACAGTGGGAAGGTGTTATGAAATCTTGCTGTTTTGCCTCATCCCTGACTTGTAGCATCCACAGTTCAGGGAGCATCCTGGATCCCACCCATCGCTGCTCATGCATCTCAGTCCTAACCAACCAGTCATGCTTTTCTGGTTCTGGATGGATCATCAATAGTGCCAAATTGTGTGGTGGTCCTGTTTTACATTGCAAAAGGTCACAGGAACTGACAGGTTGCACCCAGGTCTCCAGTGTTGAAAAAATAAGCCCAACCTACTCCCCAGATGCAGTTTAAGAATGTTTTTCAGATGTATATCTCTGTATTCTAACACCCCTCAACCCTGTTGTCTGTGTATTCAAATAGGAAAATATGCAGTAAAGAAGTCACGGAGGACTGATGTGGAAGACCTGACTCCTAACCCCAAAAAACTTCTCCAGATTGGCAATGAACTAAGGAAACTGAATAAGGTGATTAGTGACCTGACACCAGTCAGTGAACTTCCCTTAACTGCCAGACCGAGGTCAAGAAAAGAAAAGAACAAACTAGCTTCCAGGTAAACTTTAAATGGCTTTTACCTGTGTGAATTAATCCTATTTGGGATTATTCTAGACATGTGCTTTACAAATGAGACCTCTTTGAATTTCTTACTTAGAGAGAGGCTGCATCATCCTTGACAAGCATTGTAAGGTTAGTATTGCTTTAATCAAAAAAAAAAAAAAAAAAAAATCCCCCAAACAACCAGGGCATCTGATTCACATTGAAAAATGCAAACTAGATTGTACTTTCTTCCCATTGGAAGCAGGCCTCGCTGATAGATTTTGGCACAGACCCTGAAAGCCACCCTGTTAAGTTAACAAACAGGAATCTGAGATTCTACAGGCACTGCTGCCATATTGCATTTCTTTGTGTGTATGAGTGATACCAAATACAAGCAGTGGTTGTAAAGACGATGTGGGAGCAGATAATAAGCCACAATCTCTAGCAGCACGGATGGAAGTTAACGATAATGAATGTTCTATAGTGATTAGAGGTATATTGACTCTCTCTCCTTTACAGGGCTTGCAGACTAAAGAAGAAAGCCCAGTATGAAGCCAATAAAGTGAAGCTATGGGGTCTCAACACAGAATATGGTAATTAACTTTTTTTCACTTACACAGTTTTTCCTTTGTCTTACTACAAACAGTTGTATGTTTTGTATTTTCACGTCACCAGAGTCCTACTTTGGACAATTTTTTATGCAGAAAAGGGTGTTGGTATTTAACTTGTAAGTAGTGCGTAAAGATAACTTGATTTGCTTTTGATTAGTTATTTGTGTTGTGCTATTTTAGGACCCATTGCCATAAAGTGCAGTACATAAACATAGGGAAACACAGTTCCTGCCCAAGAGAGATTACTGTGTGATCCAGTGTTGTCTTTTTCTGTAGATAATTTGTTGTTTGTGATCAACTCTATCAAACAAGAAATTGTTAATCGAGTGCAGAGTCCTAAAGATGACAGAGGACCCAACATGGAACAGAAGCTTGATGTACTTATTAAAGATACTCTTGGTAAGGAATCAACTTAATCAACCAAATACTCCAAAACTGATATGTAACAAGTGTTGAGTCCCTTCAGCCTAATATTTCTATAGGAGCAGCTGCCCAATTATCACCGAGCTTTAGCCGTTCTGCTTGGTTACTGACCAACAGCAGGACTTCTGAGTGTTTGTATTCATTCAAATATGCACATATGTGGGAATAAAAGAGATCTTAAAGTACATCCCTAACTTTCCTTTCCAGGACTACCTGTAGCTGGTCAAACATCAGAATTTGTGAACCAAGTTTTAGAGAAAACTGCAGAAGGAGACCCCACTGGTGGCCTTGTAGGGCTGCGAATACCAACGTCAAAAGTTTAACAGACATCATTTCACCTAATTTCATTGGTCAGAGCTCTACCTGTGTTAAGTACTCCACTGTAAATTTCATTCTGGTCTGCATGTCAGTTTAGCATTATGTAAACATTTAAAATTAGGTTCCATAGCTGTTTTTGTTTTTTTTTAACAACAATGTAATAGGATAAGTAAGCGCACGATATAAAATGCTTAATTAGCATTTTTGGAGCATAAACCAGTATTACATAGTATTAAAGCTGCTTCAGGCACAAATACAGAGATTAGGTGTTTTTAAACCTAGGACCAGATCATATAATTTGCTTTAGAAGCAAAAACACGTTTTGTGCTTGTGAAAATTTTAGCAAAATGCCGAACATTGTGGCAGGTTTATGCTCTGAGTAAACTAAAAATTTAAGAGGAAGCATTCTTTTGTAAACTGTCAAAGTTTAGTGGGTTTTTTTAGAATTACTGCTTTTTTTCTTCTAAAAAATAAAACCAGTAAGCTTTCTTTGCACCCATTAACTTGTACATAGTGCACACGGCATTAGAGCTAGTGTGCCATATAAGACTTTAATTTTCTGAGCTTAATATTGTATTTAAATGTCTGTGAAAGTAAGAGGAGGAAAAAAAGTATATTCTTTGTGCCTTGTATTTTGGGGGAGAGCTATAAATATAAGATAGTAAAGTTTTTGTACGATGAAAACCCTGAGGAAAACACAAGATGTATAGATGGTAAGATTATGGGGTTTCATGTATTTGTTCCAGCTCTTACAAATTTTTGAATGTATATAAGAATATGTTGAAAATGTAGATATATGCCACAGAGTCTATGTATTGTATAAAAGATGGCTCTAGAAAATTCAATTTCGGTACTTGGCCGGAAGAAAACAAATACTTGCACATTAATGCGATTGTTTATTTTTGTACCAAAGACAAATGCAACTGATATGGCAAACTGCCAGTCTAAGTAAAGTTTTGCACAGCTTACATGATACTGTACTGAATGTAAAAAAACAAAAAAACAAAAAAGAAAAAAAAAATTAAAGGTCAGGGTTAGGGATCTTACTGAACTGTGAATTTTTTTTTTTTTTTGTTTGGGTCCAATTATCTACAGAAGGAGCATTCATACATAATATTATTTTGCTGTTCTTCTAGTTCGCTTCCATAGTAGATAAGTTGATGACCATCTCAAAGTCTCAATCTTTTTTTTTCTCTGCATTTGCTGTAGGAAATGTTTAATATATGTGGATTTTAGTAAGCTATTGGAAAAATAGTTTTCAACTTTGAGAATTTAAAAAAATTATTTAGCTTGTTGTAGGATACTTCCACCAAACAACCAAAATAAAATTATTTTTATTGTAATATGTATATATGTAAAGAGGAAAAAGAGCTACAAATCTAATTCCTTAGTTGCCACTTTTCCAGTTGATGTATTATTATGCATGTGATGTTTCAAAGGATCAGCACAGGCTTAAAACAAAAACAAAATTTATAGTTTTCTTTTATATTTTTGTACAGAAATTTCAAAACTAGCTTCTTCAAACTTATATGTGACTTATTCTTAATTCAGTAGTTTCTGTGATTGGGAAATACTAACACACATTAGTTCTTATTTGCTCCTCTGCTCATAAGAGTTTGCTTTGTTAGTGTTTAGAGTACAAATGAAAAGCTTTATCTCTTGACGAGAAAGTCCTTTATGTCAAGGCAAGATCATTCTCTGGTTTCATGGACCCCTTTTTCTTCCCTTTCCTTTTTATTTAAAGATAATGACAAAACACTGTCTACTGAGAATAGAAATACCAAATACTTTAAAATGTAGCTGCTGGAAAAATGCAAAAAAAAAAAGTCCATGAAGGTTTTCTTTCCACTCCCTTTGGGGAAATCTCTCTCCTTTTATGTAGTTTGGCTAAGTTTGTTTGTACTGTGACTCCTTTTATGTATAGGTAGGGGATTATTTTTATACCTAAACTTTTAGTGTAAGATGGTCTGAATCAAAAGTAGTAAACTAAAGAGTGGAAGATGAAAATGGCAATCCTGCTACATGCTTGTAGTGTGTCCACAACTTATTCTACACCTTGATATTTTGAAAAACTTAAAAGGGTGGAGGGAAGCCAAAATACCACTACTGGACTGTATCACAGAGTTTTTTTCCTTCAAGACTTGTGAAAAAGTACCCAGGACTATCTAGTCAAAATGTAGACAATTTGCTTAAAGGATTTGCAAAACCTGAGCAGGGGACTGTCTTGTTGGTTTGGGGTTTTTTGGGGGTGGGTTTTTGTGTTTGTGGGGTAGGTTGTTTTGTTTGCTTTTTTTCATGTGGCGGGAGGAGAAGCAGCACAGGTTTGTAGCTTCAGAACAGAACATAATGGGTCAGATGCATCCCTGTTGTAATTCTACCAATGCCAAGAGTTACACCAGAGATGCATTTGGCCATTGAAATCTTGACAAAGAATGTCTATGTCGTGTAAATTTAAAGTCATGGCTATACTGAGATTTGAAATAATGTTAGTCCTTTCTGGTGTTTAAACATTCACAATGCTAAAAAGGTGCAAACCCTATATCAGAACTGTATAGGCAAGGCAGTATTTCAAAATACGATGACAGTAGTTTTGCGATCAGGTAGGATTTACATGACAAATTAAACTGACGATAAGGTAGAAAAATGCCCTTTTCTAGCTGCTCAGGAATACTGAGCTAACATCGCTTTATAGCTTTTTATTTTGTCTGAAAACCAGAATATGATTTTGGTCTAGCATTTCAAAAAAGACTTTGAATCTCTTTAGTGGATTCTGTACCCTTGCATTTCAGTGTTTTCTATGTATTATTTTAAGTTAAATAGTTAAAAGCTTTTAAATAGTTGAGCTTTTTAATGTTGACACTTTATTTTGTACCTATTTATATAAGTATGTATATCTTAGAAAAGCACTTTGTTTAAAAAGAAGAAGAAAAAAATTGCGTTTTTATATGATTCCTGCCATTTGCTGCTAACTCTGGGCTGGTCAGAATGCTGCAGCGATACTTGATCTAAATAAAACCTGGCAGTAAAATGTAGAGTAAAGTTAAGACCTTTGCTGGTTTAACTTTATCATAAAGATGACATAGGCAAGCTGTGCAGCTTTACATTTTAACCAGGGGACTCTGTGGCATTTAAACCGTCTAGAAATGGTTGTACTTTAATGCCAGTAACAATCTGCTTCCTCTAGTGTCATTAAAATATATATGTTTAGTGTATTCTTATCACAAACAAATCTTATAAGGGTAAAAATACAAATGTACATGTTCTGTTTTTTGGAAATTGTGGCATGCATTTTTGGATGATCTTTAGAGAATAGTTCTCTAAAGGCTTTCAGCATTCATACATGGTATGTGGAGCTTAATGAAGTCCTTGAATATTTTTGAGTGTAGGCATTGTGAATATTCACTTTAATTCTGTCATCCAAAACCAATTATACATTTTTATTTAATAAAAACTAAAAGCTCATCCTTTTTTCTGATACACTGGATTCTCTAGAATTTGTTTCCATATTAAAGCATGCTGTCAAACTGCTCTTGTTAAGATCTTGTCAGCCTGAATTTGGGTGCCACACTTTTTGAATCAGTATGATGGACTGCGTGTTCTACTGTACCATGTATGATTCTTGTCCGTTCCTATTTCCTTCATGCCAGATTATGATGTGGCTTTATATTGTGCCTTACTTGTACATTTAGAACTAAACGTTTTTATTTTTCATTCCCCTGAACCTGTTAAATCCTTTGACCCTTCTGAAAGCAAAATCAGAACTATGATAAAAGCATCATGAAGGAACTTCAAATGAACCTGATTTCAAATTCTCTTAATAGTCACTTTGTGTTTGTATGGAAGACCAATTTTGAATGGCCTTGGGAGATGGGGGTGCTAGGGCTAAACAAATAAAATAAAAAATATTTTCCACTACATCCCTTCAGCTAATGCTTTCTCTGACTTTCATGAGTTTATCAAAAAAGTTTTCTGACTTATTTTTTGGAGGTCTCTCTCTTAAGTCTCCAGTTAGATGTGGATGTGCTTGATTCTCCTCTCATAGCAGTATAAATCAAAAATAACAACACTGACATCTGTGATATACATTGATGTGAGAATCGGGTCCAGGTGTGCTCAGTTCATCAGCTTGAAGTTTAGTAAGCTCTTTTTTCCAGATTAAAAAAATAGCAGTAAAAAGCAAAATTCTTCCTTTATAAAACGCATGGTGGGCCTTTTAAGTAATCTAAAAAGGACCAGACATATTTCTGAAATACAATTCTGCCAGTTTGGATTTCATTTTTAAAATCTATACCATTATCTGATGTTTGCCTTCATTTAATAAAACTGTTAATTTATTCACAAATGTCAAGAATGGATGTGCTTTTATCTTCCATAAATATTTTTAAAACATATAGATAGGTGAAAAATCTTAGTTTTTTAAAAATATCTACTTCGAAAGGGTTGTATACAGTTGCCTTCAGCAGAAATAGAAAATATAATTTTGTTCCTCAAACTTGCGTAGCAGTCTTCCTGAAATGGTGTTGAGGCATAGCCTATTATGTAATATGAATGTTAGTATCTTTATTTGGCCTTGGGACCTGAATTTCAAGAATGTGTCTAATCATGATTTTTTTATTTTAAAGTTAAAGGTTTCAGTTGGGTACCACTAGTTCAGTATGCTACCAGATGAAACCTTGGCTTATTCACAGAGCTGCAGTTCATTTTGTTTACCCTAGGGATCATGCAAAATACATTTCAAATAGTTACTGCTGAAGCGGCTGATTCTTGTTGTAACCATATAAAGGGCATTACCATGTTGAGAAAACACCACTTTTTTTTAATATCCCAGTTTACATTGGAGATATGTCAATGTCCGCATTGCAGAAGTGGCACTCTAGAGTATATTTTTTTCACCGCATCCAAAAACTGAAAGGTACCTTGCTAATGATGTTTGATTTACATTTTACAATAGGCCATGATTTTTAATGGATATAGCATGACCAGGTGCGTGTGCTGAATTTATACCCCTCAGCCTCTTAGACATTCATTAACTTCCACAAAGGCAAATGCTGATTATGCATTTATTAACTGTCTTTCTTTCTATTGAGCAATGGAGCCAAAAATAAAGCCAGATCCATTTAAGACAAATCTCAGTTTTATTTTTTAATCTGGACAAAAATCCAAAACTCTTTATTTTAAGCAAGCAATATACTGTAGTACTGTATCAGCATTTAAAGATTAAATGGGTTAGGAATACTGGAGAGTTAGATATTTGCATAAGCCAAACTTGGGTGTGTAGAATGGTTAGAGTAGGATTCTCTTGACTTGGACTTTGTAATTACAAATGCATCTTCTATCCCAATACTTCCTTTTTTCCTTTCTCTTCATGACGTTAAAAACCAAAAAAATGTAGTGGTATAAATGTAGCTGCTTTTTGAACCTTTCTTAGAACACTATATTCTACTAACTGCATTTCTGTTGATTTGAACCACCCTTTTCCCCTACCCTTTTTAGAATACTTCATCTGTCTAAAAGATGTCTTGTAGCTCAGTAATTGTGGCTAAAAATGAACTCTAAGGCTGATGGCACATGGTGGATATAGTGAACTGACTGAATGGCAAAAATTAAAATAATTTTTAACAAAACGTGGCAACCTGCTCTGCTTATGCTTGGGGTCATGTTTGTAATGCTGTCCTCAATATTCTGTAGTCAATTTCCAACTGGAGCTCAGAAAAACTTACTAAAAGTCTTGTGTCTCTGTCAGAAAATAATTTTACCTTGTTAAAAGCATGATCTGTTAAGAGTTGCAATGTTTAATGTTGGTTAATAGTTGTGCAGTTTTCTTTTTAAAGAGGCACAATTAAAATATTGATTTTGTTTACTCTGTCACCCTGGAGCCCTAGCACTTCTATTCAGATACAAACTCATCAATGTATGCAACATCCTTTGTAATTTAAAATAAAAAATTGTGGAGAAAAAACAGTTCTCAAATTTTTGTGCTTCTCTCTCCTGCAGTGCATCAGCGGAGGTGTTGCTTCTATAGTTCTCGGGTAAAATTACTGGGGTTTCCCCTGTAGAATGTTGTACTGACATTACAGGAAACTTGAAGCCCTCTTAAAATATCAGAGTTGGAAGGGACCTCAGGAGGTCATCTAGTCCAACCCCCTGCTCAAAGCAGGACCCATCCCCAATTTTTGCCCCGATCCATAAATGGCCCCCTCAAGGATTGAACTCAAAACCCTGGGTTTAACAGGCCAATGCTCAACCCACTGAGCTATCTCCTTTTTCTCCTCTTTCTCCCTTTTGCGCCCCCCCCCCATAGAATAGGGACAGCACAATCATCAACAGGGTAAGCTTCTCCCATTGCCCCAGTATCATGCTTCAATATTCCTTTTAGAGAGATGATTACTAGATATGAGGATAATTTAATCTCTATCCCCATTCAGTCCTCGGCATAGTAACAGCAACTTGCTGAAAAGGTGCTTGAGTGATGTGGACAGTTCTCCAGTAAAACCTAGACTGAGACCACCAGGTTATTTTACAAAAGCCACAAAACAACTATGATATGGTCTCTCTGGACTTTGGTCTCTGCTGCCCTTTCAAGGTATGTTTAGCAAACTGCACACTTGAGGCTGGGAGGAACCCCTTTGTGCATGCTAGGATGAGGTGGTGAAAAAGCAGGATCCTGCATCAACACACTCTTCTCTTTTTGTATTCTCAGGTGGAGAGTGTGTAACAGCCATTCCATACCCCTAATCATTTTCGTTGCTCGTCTGAACCTTTTCCAATTCCAATATATCTTTTTTGAGATGAGACGACCACATCTGCACATAGTATTCAAGGTGTGGGCTTACCATGGATTTACATAGAGGCAAGATGATATTTTCTGTCTTATTGTCTATCCAGTGGTGAGCTAGAGCCGGTTTGCACTGGTTCGCACAAACTGGTTGTTAAATTTAGAAGCCCCTCTAAAAGGGCTTCTAAAATTTAACAACCAGCCAAAAGTGGCGCCTTAGGTGCTGACTGTCTGTGGGTGCTCAGGGCGGAGCATGCACGGGGAAAATTTGATGGGTGCAGAGCACCCTGCCCTGCCCTGTGCAAGGCCCCAGCTCCCCTCACCTCCGCTCCGCCTCCTCCCCTGAACGCACCGCCCTGCTCTACTTCTCTGTGTCCCCCCGTCCCCCTCGCCTTCCCACAAATCAGCTGTTCGCGCGGGAAGCTGGGGCAGGCTGAGAAGCAGGCGGCGGCTTTCGCGCTCAGGCCCAGGGAGGTGGAGGCAAGCAGGGGCAGGTGGGCGTGAGGAGGGCTGCCCATGCTTCAGCAGGTAACCCGGGGAGGGGGGCACAGAGGAACCGCTCCCCGCCCCAGCTCACCTCTGCCTCCCTGGGCCTGAGGGCAAAGCCGCCGCCTGCTTCTCAGCCCTCCTAGGCTTCCCGTGCGAACAGCTGATTCACAGGAAGCCGGGGGAGGGGGCAGAGAAGCAGAGTGGGGCAGCGCTTTCAGGGGAAGTGGCGGAGCGGAGGTGAGCTGGGCGGAGAGCTGCTGGTGGGTGCTCTGCACCCACCAAATTTTCCCCATGAGTGCTCTAGCCCCAGAGCATCCTCAGAGTCGGCGCCTAAGGCGCCACTTTTGATGTGATCAGTGGGGGGAGTGGCTGCTCCCCCTGCTCTCCCCCTAGCTACGCTCCTCTGCCCCAAGGTGCCAGAGGGACCTGCCAGATGCTTCCTGGGAGCTGCCCCAGGTAAGCACCGCTGGGACTCCTTAGCAGGTCACTCTGGCTCTTAGGGATGGGGTGGAGTGGGATGGGTACCCACTATGGTGGCCCACGAGCCCCTCCTGCCCAGTTCTGGGGGCAGTCAGGGGACGGGAGGAGGGCATCAAGGAATGCGGGGGATGGGATGGGGCAGAAGTCCCCAGGGGGCGGGAGTGGGCAACAACCCCCTTGTGGAGTGAGGAGGGAACCGGTTAAGATTTTGGCAGCTCATCACTGTGTCTAGCCCTTTCTTAATGATTCACAAGATTCTGTTAGCCCTTCTGAAGGACTAATGTATTAAAATCCCTGCCACAATGCTGGAGCTTTATCATGAGTCTTGCAATCAGTTGTTGTTCTTCAGTTGCTGGCAGCGGCAGGCTGCGTGAGCATGCTCGCTTTAATTTAAAAAACAAGTCTGGTTCAAGTGCTCATGGTTGTTGAGGAAAAAAAAGCTTGAACTTAAAGTCACAGAAAAAGAACAAAGCGGCACAAAGTCCTGTGGCACCTTGTAGACTAACAGACATCTTGGAGCATAAGCTTGTGGGGGTCGATGCCCACTTGGTCAGAGGCATGTAGTGGAAGTTTTCAGAGACAGGTATAAATACGCAAGCAAGAACCTACCTTTTTTTTCCTTTTTTTAAGTGCCTGTTTTTGAAGCCAAGCCCCTGACTCTTTTTTTTTTTTGTGGGGGGCGGCAGCTGACTCATGACTGGCCTGGAAGTGGCAATATCAAGATTTTGAAACTTCAGTGTCTGGACACAAAGTGGCACCGCCCCCTGGGCCCTGCTCCTGCCGCCCACAACCTTGGGGCAGCGGTCACAGGCAGGTCCCGCCCTGGGACCAGGGAAGGAGGCTCTGTATTCGCTTCCCATGCCCTGGGCCGTCAGGGCGCGGCCACTAGAGGGCGGGGGTTGCGTTTTGATTTTGATCCCTCTACCTCCCCGTAGTTCGCAAGATGGCGGCGGCCGGGGACGTGCCCGTGCGGGTCTGTAACCAGGAGATTGTCAAATTCGACTTGGAGATTAAAGCGGCGGTGCAGGTACCGTCATCCGCAGCCCCCGCGCCCATTTCCTGCGCCCCCTCAGACACCAACCCCTCCACCCCGCCCGGCACGTTCCTGAAGAGGGGCCAGCGCCCCCTGGCCCCTGCCCAGTCCGGCTCCCTACTCTCCCGCCACCGCGCCCCCACCCCGGGGCAGATGGGTCGGTCTGTGTGTGTGGGGGGGGTCACCCGGGGGCAGCTGGGCCCAGCGCCCGGCCCTCCCGCCCCAGCCGGGGGGGTCACCGCTGGGGAGTTCGCTCCGCGCCCGGCCCTCCCACCACACCCCTCCCAGTAGGTGGATGGCTCACCGCTGGCAGCTGAGCTCAGCCCGCTGCCCTCCTGCCACATCCAGGGCGGGTGTGTCGCCTCTGGGGAGTTGGCGCAGTGCCCTGACCTCTTCCCAGTCCAGACACCTCTCCCAAGGACTTGATCCTTCCCCGCCCACCACCTAGGGTCTTTGCAAACAGATACATGAGCGCATGTCTCTGTGAACCTCTCTGCCATGGTCATGTCCCTTGGAGGCTTTGGAGAGCTGGCATTGAGGAGCCTGCAGGTCTTATGTGGAAGGGAAGTAGAAATGTTAGTTTAATTCTCTGGTGCCTGGTCCTCAGATGTGCCCAGGCTAACTGATTTTCCCAAACTGTGCCAGTTCTGCCCCACTAAAAGGTTAATAGAGCATTTCAAAACCACTGCCTGTGTGTTTGTGCAGTGCCTAGTGCAATGGGCCCTGTGTCCCTGGTGAAAAACAAAACAAAACCATAATACTGATCATGTTCACATCAACCCCAAAGAGGAATCCCCTTCTTCATCTTTAATCACATTGCAAACATTCACATTCCCCACAAATTGAAAAGTCCTACGTTTCTGCCTGTATGCCATTCAGCAGACACCCTTCTCAAAAATTAATTAAACAAATTAATAAGCAAATTAAATTACATTACCCATCAATGGCTTCTAACCTGTCTGTTATTTCTTTTAGGATATCAGTGATTGTCAAGGGCCCTTAAGTGTGCTTACAGAATTAAATGCCAGAGTAAAGGAAAAGTTTCAACATTTACGTCTCAGAATACAGGTGAGGCATAACATAACGACAAAAATGAGATGCTGGCAGGTAACAGTAACAGTGTTAATGGTGCTTCGTAATAGGGTTTGCCTGGGTTTTCTAGAGAAACCGAAGTTTTATTTGCCTGTGTGTTAGGTAGAATGAAGGTTAAAATGTATCAGGGTGACACTGCAGTACTAGTATCTTGGAGCCATTTATAAACCGTAATATTGAGAATTTCTAATTGTTTATGTATTGAGCATAATAAGTAAAAATCGTTAATTCTGGGGGTCTCATCCCACAAATATGTGTCTTGCAAGTATACCTTCCTTTGCAATTGATGGAGTCTAAGATGACAAGTTCTGCAGAAATTAAATTTACTTTTAAAAGAAAAATTAAATTCCTAAACACTAGTTACAGTGGTAACCTTCCAAATGGGCTGATACTCATAGCTTTCTCTAAAATCAGAAGAGGAAAATTGGCATGATTCTTGTCACTTCCATTGTTGCCAATAGTCTGCTGAAAAGCAGCAGTGAAGTTAACCTGCCAGTCTACTTATTGCTCTGTGTTCTCTGGCTGATGTGAAAGTATGTTGATTCTTGTCTTGTTATTGGGGTCGTTCAAGAGCCAACTGGTTAGGATGCACATGACTAGTCATTCTAAACTAATCTAGATCCAAACCAAGGGTTTCAGCAGTATCAAGTTAGTTATCCTCTCTGGTGTAGAAAAAAGTAATGATTGTAGATGGTGACAGCTTATGCTCAGATTTTAGTATGTCTGCTTTTATACTGAAGGAGCTTGAGCAGATGGCTAAGGAACGAGATAAAGAATCAGAGAAACAAGCTTTACTCCAAGAAGTAGAGAACCATAAAAAACAAATGCTCAGGTAGGTAAAGATGGTGACAGTATGTACGGACTCTTCATTTAATCGTACACACTTAGGATCTCAAAGCACTTTACAAAAGTGGGTGAGCTTCATTACCCTCATATTACAGATGGGGTCACCTAGGTCAGTGGTTTTCAAACTGTGGGTCGTGACCCAGTACTGGGTCA